CGTTTGTAGCCGTCGACCTGATGAGGCCGCGTCTCCAAGAGTCGTGAATTCATTCAACATCAACCGAAACACGACGAGATTAAAAGACGAGACTAAAAGACGAGACTAAAAGACGAGACTAAAAGACGAGATTAAAAGACGAGATTAAAAGACGAGATTAAAAGACGAGATTAAAAGACGAGATTAAACGGACGAGAACACCGGGTTCTGTCAAAGATCCTCGAGTAAAAACTGAAACGTCTTCAGATGAGCTGACGATCGGTCAGAAAACATCTCCTCCTCCTCCTCCTCCACCTCCTCCACCTCCTCCACCTTCCATCTCCTCTCGTCTCCGTCACCAAGCAACTAGGCTTTCCACCCTTCCTCTCCTCCTCCTCCTCCTCTCTGCCTCATTGATTAAAGCATCTTTAAACATGTGGACATTCAGATCTGAGACGAGATTCAACCAGACAAGTCGTGTTTACCCAGATCATCATTAATCTGATTTAATCTGCAGCTTTAACGGATTATTTTCCATCTTTTAACGCCTGCTCGTCCGACGGGATGAGACGAATCGTTGGATTCAAAACCTGCACGTATTTAAAAATGAATAAATACAGAACGTTTAGGAGCAACTAAAACTAGTGCAGCGTTCGTTTACTGCAGTAATTTTATTAACTTCGGCTTCACGTGTTTGAAATGCAACCAACGGCTAAAATCATTTAAAACTACGTGAATTACATTTCCTGTGAAAATAAAGTGTGAGTGCATATAGCAGAAGAACTTGCAGAAAAACAGCTAAAGTTAGCTAAAAAACAACAACATGCTGAAATGGAAGAACAAGCATAAACTAGTCAAATAAAGCAGAAAGAACATATTTGATGAAATGGAATCAGAAATGAGAATAAAAATTAGATAATTAACTAAAAAAGAGCTGAAATTAGCAAAAGAAAACAGCAGAAAAGTAGCTAAAAAGGCAGAAAGAAAATCAAATTACCAGACGTGGAGAGCACATTTTGAATGAATTGGGCAGGAGTTGAAATTAGTGCAAGAAATGTGGAGTTAGCTGAAAAAGCTAAAATTTGCATTGAAACAGCTACTAAGCTGAAAGTAGCAGAAATTACCATGAAGAACTTGAATTTGTCTGAAAACAGCTGAAATTTGCTAAAATAAATGCTAAACAATTAGCTGAAAAGCTAAAAGAAGCTTAAAATACCAGAAGAAAGCAAAAAAAACATGTTTGCCCAATTAGGCTGAAAGAAGCAGAAATTAGCATAAAAAGTGGAAATTATTAGAAAAAAGTAAAAAACATAAATTAGCTCCTTTTATCTTGTGTATTAGCTTAATTTTAGTTTGTGTATTAGCTTAATTTTAGCTAACAGTTGCTCCTTTAAGCTAAAACCAAACCAAAAATAGACAAGAATCACTCGTCACTTCTTCGCAGCAGTAGTTTGACAAACAAGTTTTATTTTCCAGAAACATTTATTTTTAATAACTGTTTGGATTCTTCCTAAACAATATTTTTTGCTCATTTAAGTTTAATTTAAAGTACGTTTTCTTTTAAAGCAAAATATGATGGTTTATTAAGTATAAAGTTGTTAACACTAAGCCAATTACTCGGCCTTCGGCTGTTCTTGATCGCCGCCATGAAAGGCGAATGATGGCGTAACTTCCTGTTTGCGTCTGAACGCCTGTTAGAATTCAACCGCCCGCCACCAGAGGTAAAGATGGCCGCCACAGCTAATCAAGCTCAGCAAACAAAAGTGGCTCTAAGTCCGTCAGTTTTACAGACAATGAGCTAAACTTCGGCGTGGAAGCAGCTTCATCGTTTCAAATTCATCTTTTGGACCTCAGAGCATCTTTTAAACATTTTCTCTCCGTCTCTTTATCTCAGTTTTTGGGGCTTTTTAAGTTTTTGGGTGCGCCCAGAACCACTCGTGCAGTTTCACCTTGAAGCTCTCCCCACAAACAGGCGAAGACGCATCTGACACGGGGAGAGAAATAAAAGCCGAGAGCTCGTAGAGAAAAACTGAACTCCAAACCAGAAGAGTTCTGCTTGAAAGCTGGACTTCCTGTCAGAGATCAGCTCTGTTTTCATTCCTCTGCTTCAGGGAGGTTTTCTCCACCGAACACAGGAACGACAGACATTTAGTGACTCGTGCAGTTTTACGAGCTGAATTTATGCGTCAGGTTATTTCAGGTCCCGCGGCGGACCACACAAGCCCGACTGATTTCCCAGGTCTGAAGGAGGACCGGCGAGTCCCGGCACAAAAAGAAATGATTTACAGAAAAGACATAAAACACAAAGAACATCTAAACCGTCTTGTCCAGAGTGGTTCTAAAAGATAAAACTTTTGATTTTATTTTCCTGTTAAAGAAAGAAAGAACAAGAGAAAGAAAAAACAAGAGAAAGAAAGATGCAGACAGATTTGAGGCATCCAGTAGCATTTAGTACAAGACGGGTGATAATGTTTTTACCAGTTCTTTGTTAACAAAATATCTCGAGCAGTAGTGCTGACATCAACAAATCTCTAATGAACGTTATCAGACCAACGTCTACAGGTGTTGGATTAGTCGGCCTGATTCAAGATGGCCGCCACAGCTCTTCAGGTTCACAGATTGTGAGCGGACACGTCGTGTGGTAGTAGCCGAGTCACCCCCAACACATTCGATGAGGGCCGACTGCCTGAGGCTCATGTGTCCCCCGATGCCGAGGTGCTTGAACAGTGAGTGTTTTTCTGGACTGGACCAGAACAGGGAGTGAACCTAAATGTTTTTGGTGCAAGGTATTAAAGTGTGTAGGAGTTGGTTACACTGTGGAGAAGAACAGAAGAAGAATTTTATTTTTTTCTTGTGTGAGGCAGCACAAAGTAACGAATCCTGGTGAGTTGAGGGAGCAGTCTGATCCACCAGGGCAGAGTTAGGGGGGTGGCCACTGGTGGCCTCGGCCACCACAGATTAATCTTCGACCACCTATATAATTTGAGAAAACTTTTTTATAGTAGGAGTCCGTTCATACGTATATAAACACGCATGTTGACGACCATCTTGGATCGGGACGTGGCAACCCAATTCTTTAAAGGAACCTTTTTAGATGTGGCCACACGCCGAAATGGAAGTCGGTACATCACTTATTTAAAAAAGTATCAAGCTCACACAGATGGATGATTATGTATGGATGGATGGCTGAAAGGATGGTTGAATGGCTGATGGATGGATGATGGTTGGATGGATTAATGGATGGTTGGATGAAAGGATGATGGATGGTTGGATGAATGGATGGCTGGTTGGATGACGGTTTTTCCAGTTCCCTCTCTTGGCTCTGCGACGGTTAACGGTGGTGAGCGATGTGTGTTTCCACAGGAAATGCTCCTTTAATGAAGCCTCGTGTTCTTGTTCAGTGTTCCACTTGGTTCCGTTACTGAATTACGATAAAATCCTGCAGATGTTTCTCAGAACAGAGAAGAACGTTTTCTCTAATCCAACAAAATGGAAACCAGCTCCACGTGTTCGGCTGCGGCTCCTCAGAAGACGACGCTAACCTTGAAACCGTTCGCTACAAACTCGTTTCTTTCAGGATGTTCTGCTCGCTCCAGTTTCCAAGAACAAACTGCACTCGGCTCCGATGAGCCTGGTGGTTTGTCGTCGTCGTGTGAAGAACACAAACATGCTCGGCTCCCAGGTGGAACATCACTGTGAGCACTGCCTGTCATATTCATTATTAATAAGCTGCAATTAGTCTTTAATCGGCCGCTTCCTTTGGCAGAACCCTCAATTCATGACCACACATGAAAACATTGGACCGTTTCCCTACAGCCTCGGTTCTGCTGAAAGGAGTGGACAGAACCGCTGTGTGCAGAACCGCTGTGTGCAGAACGTTTGTCACCGGACCGTAAATCGGTTTTATTACAGGGACAGACTGGAACATGAAACGTAAAATCAAAGCAGCTAAAGGTTTGCTGACATCCAACAGTTTTCCTCCCACGACGTAAAACTGAAATAAGGAAGTCATCAAATCAGAACATGTCAAAAGCAAAACCTTCGGTTCTGATCCAGCTCCTGCCGCTCCACGTGGAGAACAGTGAGAACCTTTATGAAAAATATTGTGCCAAAAAATCTAAATGTCAACGTTTACACGGAACAACAAAACTGTATTAGGTGTCCACACGAGTCACAATAAAAAACAAATAAAATAAAATAATCACCATCTGACTAATCGTACAGGCAGAACAAAGAAGACTAAAAAGCTGCTAACACTGTTAGCCTCACCGTTAGCCAGTATGCAATAATTTGTCTTTATTAACCTAATATTATTATTGTTGTTGGAAACACTCAATAATCTTCCTTAATATTATCTGTGTAAGCCTGTTAGCTAATATTAGCTAATGTTGTCTGTTTTATATGGCTACTTCCTGCCGGCTAATAAAATCACCTTCATAGTTAGCAAATGTCTTCGTATTTTTAACTTGTATTTTCAACTTAAATCAGTAGCTAATATCTGCTTAAGGTTAGCTAAAAATGCCAGCTTGAATTTGTTAGCTAATGCTTTATCTAGCTAAAGTTATAACTTGTAGTCAATGTTAGCTTCGTAGCATCAAATGATATGTTAGCTTCAAACTGGTAGCTAGGGTAGCCTAAGGGTTAACATTAGCTTCATATTGTTAAATATTAATTTAACTATCTTTGTTTTCTTCAGATGACTGGGCATCCAGATACTGTTACTTCTGTTTATTTGCTCTCCTGCAGAAGACAACAAACCAAGCGTTGCTCTGTTTCCTTCAGGCTCCCGGACCTGCAGCCATTACCGCCGCCGACCACCAGGGGGCGCAATGAGCTGAAAAAGGCGCCAAGCTAGCTTACAACTGGGACTCTCTAAAACTTGGGTTTCCTTTTTCCTTTTCAAAACGAAAAACAAAAGTTCTAATAATGTTGTGGAATTGATATCAACCAGCAAAACAAAAGATTTATGACTTAAATAGCTACATTTTCAAAGACAAGAACAACGTTTTCACACCACTTACCCTGCACTGCATGGCGGCAAAGTGAGGAAGTTCCCAGAATGCATTACATTATTTCCGCCTTTGACATTTCAAAATAAAAGCCCTCAATAAGACAAACATGCAAAGATTAACAGAGCAATAATAATAATAATGTCATCACTGTATGTTTCCATACAATGGCGAAATTAGTCTCTGCATTTAACCCATCCACCACCAGGTGGTGCAGTGGGCAGCTATTGAAGGCGCCCGGGGGGCATTTTGGGGATGAGGCGTGCTGCCCAGAGACGCCACGTGATGTGCAGTGACTGGGGATCGGGTCCCAAGCCGGCTGCCCTGCCTCTACACCATCTCGGCCCCCATGAGTAAACAAATATTTCAGAGTACATATTTACTTCTGTTACAATAACATTGTCGGCTTCATATACTAGCTTATATATATTATATATATATATATACTAGCTATATTAGCTTCACTATGTTAACCAATGTTTTTTATTGTTAGTAACAACTTTTAGATTCATAACATTAGCCAATATAAGCCTTTTAGTGTTTTTTAATTTGAACTAATTAGCATAGCTAAATGTTTAACATGCTGCCAGTTTATTCTCATCCAATCCTTTTAACACAAACAATAAATAACTCGTTGGCACATGCACGTTGTGACCATTCGTAGCTCTGCCTTAAATATGAAAAACCAATTATTCTTCTCTCGTTGAGTTAATTGGTAGATTCAATAATCTGTCGTTTGATGGAATCACTTGTGCAGGTGCAGCGTCACCACCTCGTGTTTCTTCTCCTAAACTACGGCACGACGGGACGCTGAGAGGAGTTCTCAGGAATAAAGAAAGAGGAAACGCTCGGCTGAGATGATTTATGGAACAAAACCAGCGTCCATTGATCCGCCGGTGCTTCCAGGTCCGTTTCACAGCCGGGCTGCGATTTTCTGCACGTCACTGTGAAGAGTCGTCGGTTCTCATCCTCTTTCCTCTCCGTGAGGAGGGACGAAACTTTATGATTAAACTATTTCTCAGAAGTGTGAAGAATCTCGCAGATTAATTAAATTATATTTGTGAATGTTTATGAAGCATTCTGATAAAATGTCAACTGTCCCCCTCTTACAATGCTGTGATTGCTAGTATCACTCAGCCCTCTGTGAACAGTAAACAGCCATCAGGTGCTAATGATCCATTGTTAGGCTGATGGTCCTTCTTGAGCATGTGATCAGCTGGTTCTGGTTGTCAGCAGCAAACTGGTTGATCCACTCTGAGAAGGTGCTATTTAAGAGACTGAGCTGAATACAGCTCCTCAGACTGAGGAAGTCCTCAGGATGAGAGACGAAACGTTTCTACAGTTTTTCTTGTTTTGTTCCTTGAATGTCCAGAGGACCAGACTTCACATCTTTAGATGAATTCAGCTCATTTACCTCCTTCACATCTT